ACGACATGGCCAGCATGCAGCAGAAGGGGGAGTACATGATGAGGGAAGACTTGATTCATGGGGCGCCGCCTTCCGTGTCGTCAACTCCTACGGCAGCTGCAGTGAATGAGCCCGCCTGCTCCTTTCTCATGCCAGATTTGCAGTCTTTCTACGCTGGAGATGACCTGGATTGAGGTCAACACCAGCAGCCAGCTGGCATGGATCGCCAGCAAACTGATTCGAAGGACCCTAGAGGCAACAGGCTTACGGGCAGCGTTTTTCATTTCGAATATTTATCAGGACATTCGGCCAGGGGAAAACGCCCCCCCCCCCCCCCCCCCCCCCCCCGAAGAGGTCCAAGGGGAAGAAGAATGACTGCTTGGGAGTCTCACACATTAGACATTCCGATCCTGGTCATAGGATAGGGCAGGGTAGGCTCGAGCCCAAAGACGACCAAAGGACGATAATTAAAAGCTCAGGGTGCATAATTCGGAGTTGGCCCCCCAGGGCTCCGCAGGAGCCCCGCCCCTTTCCTCGCGTGCCCACCCCCCCCCCCCCCCCCCATGGTGGCTCATCCCTGGGGGGGATGGTGGTTCGTGCGTCGTCTTGCCCCCCCCCCCCCCCCCCCCTCTTGGCCCCCCAATGTCCGTTCGCGAGAAAAGCGCTGCCCATCATCATGAAGGCCAAGAGGGCAACGACGTGAATAGTCAGAGCCAGTTGGGGCAGCAAGAAGGCGAGCAAGGCAGCGCGAGACGACACTTGTGCACGTTTGAAGCTTGCAAGCCTATCATTGAGGTCATTTTGTCTTCTCCCGCCCTCTCCTCGAGCTGGCGCCCCTGCAGGAGATGATCCAAGCGGGAGTGATTGAGGACGTTCCCAGGATAGCGATTAATATGGCCCCTCCCAGACCCATTACTCCTTCCACCTTTCACAGATATACTGATGGGCCCCATTACGGGAAAGGAATAACCCGCGCGGCATGGGCCTTCGTGGCCATAGCGGAAGGTGCGGATGGTGTCTCCCTGTGGGGATGTTGGAGACGTAAGCTCGAGGACTCTTGCTCCATGGGACTCAACATTGAAAACTCGAATAGCACGACTTTGGAGCTTCTGGGACTCATTTGGGCTGCGTTGTGGGTTATCACGTGTCCTTTTGAGGCGGAGTTCCATGTCGTCAGCGACTCACTCAGTGCGAGAGGTGCGGCTATTGGGCAGAGCTGCACGCGATCTGATAGAGATCTTGCGAGGCTCCTTACGCAGATTTGGGCCATTGCTTGCATGCAGAAACGGGTGAGCATATCGCATGAGAAAAGCAACAACGGACATCATTGGAACATGCTCGCTGATAGCCTTGCTAAAGCTACGGCCTGTGACAGTATTCCACCCTCGTGCGTTCCTTTTCCCCTCTCTTGGACGCAAGCGATTTTTTACACATGCAGTCGAGAGTGGGAGTGGATTGAGGCTGTGCAAAGTACGTGGCAGGATGATGGAGGAGCGTAGCCCAAGGTCAATCTGGGCAACCAGGGAAGCTTTTCAGGCGCCCTCCCCTCCTCTCAAGTGATCCCCACCCCTCTGGGCGCTCCTGAGAGGAAGCGGAGCAGGGGACCTTTAATTAGATTGCGAACGGCCACTTTCAATGCGCAGTCCCTCAGAGCCGACGGCAGAAGAGGCGCCAAGGGGAAGCAAAGACAGGCCCGCTTGCTCCTCTTTTAGGAACAGATGTTTACGGATGGGGTCCATTTGATAGGGTTCCAGGAAGGCCGAAACGCCCACGGTACCCGCCGACAAGGCAACTTCGTGTTTTTTTTTCCGGCCGGCCACGAAAAGTATAACCTGGGAGTCGAGCTATGGGTGAACATATGTACCCCGTATAGCGAGAAAGGTGATAAGGCGATGTGTTTCAAAAACAGCATATCCAGATTCTCCACATGACCCCACGCATCATGATTGTGCAAATGGTTGCCCCCGCTTTTCGAGCCACTGTTGCTGTCGCCCACGCTCCGCACACGGGAGCACCCCCAATCGAGTGCCAAGCATTTCGGCGAGAGCTTGCTGAGTTAAACGTGCGGTGGCCGCCAGATTGTCTTTTAATTGACGCGAATGCTAGGCTTGGATCGCACCGAAGCAGGGCCGTGTCGTCCAGCGGACCTTCGACTGAAGAAGACAGAAATGGGCGTCTCATGCACCAGACTATGCTGGAGAGTGACCTCATTGTTGCTAATGCGTACCGTTCCACGGGTGATGGGTGCACTTTCCACGCGAGAAACGGCCCCCCCCCACAGGATTGACTATGTTGCGATCTCCCCCCATTGGTCCCCTGCCCTCCAGGACACCAAGGTGTTGAAATATCTGGACCATCTGAGGGGCATAACGATCATCTGCCCGTTGTGGCGTCATTCGAGTGGCGTGCTAGTAGGAGCGGAAAATCAAAGCACCCCCCCACGTTGGACAAGAATGAAATGAGTGACCCTCAGGCTTGCCAAGACTTTTCGTCCCAGCTGGAAAAGGCGAGCCTCCCCCCCTGGAACCTTGACCTCAACCTCCACTACGATCAGGTGTTGGATGTTTTGCGTAGCTGCTCCCAGGCTGCTTCCGGGAAAGCTAAGGTCAGACCCAGGAAGCCGCGCATCCCCCCCCCCCCCCACCTTTGTTCTGATCCGCGCCAGAAGGGCGATCCGCAAGACCCTTTACTTGATGAGAGTCGACGCTGCCCGAGGTCGGCTTTTGCCCCAGAACGAGCAACAGGCTGGGGATTTGACCAGCCCGCCGCAAGAGCACGGGATGTCCTCCCACCTCGCCGGCAGAGTTTTTCAGCTCGCTGTCAGTCTTAGCAAGGGAGATTTCGCACATGATATCCAGCTCGGACAGAAGGCGGAGGCAAGCCTTTTCCTCTTCCATCCCCTTGCCCATGTTTGCCCCCCCATCCAGGTGGCCTCTGCCCAGTTTGTCAAGAAGAGCATAGATATGTTTGAATTTCGCCTGCACTTGGTGTCTTTTATAGCGAGCACGCACGAGCAGTTGCAGAAGGCGCTCGATCATGACTTCAGTGCTTTTTTTGCTGAAGCATGAGCAGGACACCAAAACCTCGATAGAAGGAAGAAACAGCAGGGCCGAATGGAACCACGTGCGCACTCTGTTGAGCTTCGGAGGGAAAAGGCACAGGGCCCCCTTTGGCGACCCCCATCAGGGGGGCCCCCGATGGATCCATAATAAGCAGCCCTCAAGAAGACGCTGACGATGTGCAACGTCACTTTGCTATGGTTGAGTCAGGGGTTGAGATGTCGCGCGAACGATTCCATCTGGACTACAATGCCAGCCAAGGGAAGCTGAATCAAGAGTTTGAGAAGAAGGTCGAACAGATCATCCCCGAAGCGGAGGTGGAGCTTATGATCCGTCGGGCCCCCAAAGGAAATGCCCTTGGTCCTGATGGGATCACTGGCGATCTCCTGCGTGCGGCCCCCAAGGAACCCCCCCGCATCCGCCGCCCCCTCTTGATGAAAATGGGCCTGGCGGCCACTGAACCTGTCGAGCTCAGGCTTGGACAGGTGGTCTCTTTTTACAAAGGAAAAGGCGGCAGTAGCATGGCGGCCTGTTATCGCAGCATTCTGCTCTCTAGCACCATCCTCAAATTGTACCATGCTCATGTCCGCTCTATGGCTAAGAATATCATCTTTAGCACCTTGAGGAAGGAACAATGCGGTGGCCGCCCTGGAGTGGGAACTGATGTTGCCTGTCTGTACGTGCGCAATAGATTGCACGATATTGCGCTGAGAAAAAAGACGGCCATCGTTCTGTTTCTTGACCTTGCCGCCGCCTTTTATTCCGTGGCGAGGCAACTGGTTCTCGCCCTCCCGCGCGAGGAGCATTTTTTTGCGGCGGCCTCGGGCCGGCCGATTCCTCTTGCGTTCCGAAATGCGATCTTGCAGCTGGCGGAGGACCCAACCTTGGACGCCCTGATTGAGGATCAACACCTGTTGGAGTTGGTTCGCGCCACCCAAGCGGGGTCCTGGTGGCAGTTTCGGGGATCCCATAAATACGTGGCCCCGACCCTCGGCACGAAGCTTGGTACGGTTTTTTGCTTGTGACATTTTCAATGCTGCTTTTGTTCCGATCGTCCGAGGGATTCAAAGAGACATGGGGCATAACCAGCTGAGTTCGGAGCTTCCTGGGTGCGAGGGCCCGTTCCTGGGAAACACGGACCCCGTGGCCCCGTTGGCCTCTTCCGCGCATGTTGACGACAACACTACGGTTGGAGAAGTCGAATATGCCAGTTTGGCCACTTGCGTGGCTGACAGAATGTTAGACATTGTGTGCAAGCATGTAAGTGACCACGGTCTGAGGATGAATGACACTAAAACTGTTGTGATGATCGAGACTGCTGGGAAACATTCCAGAATTGCCCAGCAACACCTTTTTGGAGACAGCACGGGAGCGGGTGCTGAGGTTGTCTCAAGCGATCACGCGGTCAAAGTTCGCGTCGCGAGAACCTACAAGTTGATCGGGACGTACCTCACTGTTTAAATTAACATGAACGCCGAGATTAACCACCGCGTGCGTTCTATGAAAGAGGATCTTCGGCCCATCAGGGCGAGCATTGCCCCGCGGAAGGCGTTGCTTACCGTCAGCAGAATCAGGTATACCGATAGTATCGCGGGGTTTAAGTTGTTGTGCAATACGTGTGTCTGGGAAATGCTTAATCAGTGCCAACTGAGAAGAATGAGCACCGCCCAGGCCGATATGCACCGAGCTGCGCTGGCTATGCCGAGGCATAAAGCAGGAAGACACCACCCGAACAGAGAAGTTCTGCATAATTCTCAAAGGGTGAGAATGGAGATTGTCCTTTGGGTCGCCCGCCTACGCTTGCTCCCTCGGATTTTGTCTCATGCCTCCTCACCCCTCCTCCGCATCCTTGATCTCACGTGCAACGCTGCGGGGGCGTGGGCGAACGCCATCATGCAGGACACCCAGCGGCTCAATACTCGGGTTAGAAAGAAAGGCATCCAAGGGCAAGGGCGTTTTGAG